AAGCTGCATGTTGCACGATAATTCTTGCGAATAGCTTCACTTCTAACATGTCCCAAGCTATGAGGAGAAATCGTCTCAAGAGGATTTTACAAAAGACCTGGCATTCACCATGCTCGGGTGTCTTCAAAATCTTAGAGAGATTCGTCGAATCTCGACGTGATTGCCACAGATTGACTGTAGTCGGCACAACAAAGTCTTCAACTTTTGTCCCAATAAAGGGTAAACAAGTTGGGAAAGCATTAACTGGGAGAAGCAACATGTTCGTGCTTATGGTCTTCAGGTGACATGCCCCTGGATATGATTTCTCTTGACGTGATCCACCAATTACTCAACATAGTTTCAGGCCTTAAAAGAATAAACTCATCACCGGTGCTTATATGTGAGTTTCCTTGATATCAAACAAATGTTTTGCAGTTAGAAAATTTTATTATGAGAATGAAAATTCTAATGCAACAGTTATGTAAGTCTTGAAGATTTTGAAAAGATATCGCACAAATTTTGCGAGTTAGAGCACCATTTATTTTTGTGTAGGAAAAAACATATGATACCAACATAACTATTTAGAACATTCATGGGAATCAGGAACACTATCTCATTGAAGTATGCTTTCAAAATAACCTTGCTTCAATTAGGACTTTTGAAGGTTGTAACGTGGTCTGGTTCATGGTTTTTTAGAAAAAAGGATTTAAGGCTCAAAATATTTGGTGCCCACCCCCTTCATGATGTTCTCCAATCCTATGTTCAGTTAATTCAACATGAGTGTTCATCTCTCAAAAGGATTTTGTGATGGTCAAGGAAACGACGAGGCTTTCGGAGTAGAAACCACCCTCATGTCTTCGTGTTTGTAGTCACCAATTTGTTCTTTGCTGAGGACTTTTCCTTGCAGTCCTTTTCTTTGCGATTTTATTTTCCCTAACTTTTGCCTGAACTAATTCTTTTGAATTGATAGTCCAGCGGGATGCCTTAATTTTGCCTAAGTCACACGTTTTCATGTTTTTTGACTTAGCAGGCTTTTTCTTTTTCTAGATTTTTGACTTTTTGAACAAAATGTGTGACATTAGCTTATATTTGCTTGTTGAGAAGATTGTGATTGCCTCATTTCTTGATGAATGAGGGACAACATTGTGGTTCCACATCTTCTGGATTTATTATATATGAAGGATAACCCTCGTAGTTTCTCTTCAAAAAACATCTTCCTTATGAATTTTGAACACTCAGTCAGATTAACTAAAAACTACCCTGCCCCAGGTTAAAATTCAAGGTTTTTTTCGTATAGAAAAGAAACTTCTGCTTCAAAGGCTCAAAAGGGGTTAGCAAGGGATTATCTTCCTTATATCTCCAGTGTTTAGGGATTTGAAACAATGCCTGTACATCATCAGCAAGATTTTATCCAAAAGCATGCAACCAGAGATTTTGTGTTCTTTAGATCATCATCCTCCCTTCAATCTCTGCCTAGGCAAGAGAATGGGCAACAAGTTGGTATCATAATGCAAAAAGAAATTTAAAATTTGAAAACAAATATGAGTGAAACGAATGAATTTCTTCAAGACAAACATACCCATTGTATCAAGATAATCATTCAGATGCAAGCAAGCTCTTACATGCAAACAATGTTTTGATAAACAAGAAAAATTACAAAGAGCAGAAATAAGTTAATAATCTGGGAAGGCTTTCCATCTGGACTTGAATCATCGAAAATATCCTTCAAAACTCAAAGTGACCGTCAATCGTGTTTACTCTTCGGCACGTGCTTGATTTGAACTTCAAAATCAACGTCCTTGAATGACAAGATACCACTTCTGACCAACTTCTGAACCTCAATCTTCAAAGTAAAGCAACCCTCCAAGTCATGCCCAGGAGCACCTTGATGAAAAGTACAAGCCAAATCAGCTTTGTAGTACCAATGTATCTTCTCAGGAACCTTCGGTGGAGGTCGGGTCTGAACCGAATTCCTCTGCATCAGGATAGGGAACAACTCTGTATAGGTAATTGGAATTTGATCAAACTGGGTTTTCCTCTGATTAGGAACTTGCTGATTCTGTTGATGAATAGGAGAAACATGATGATTCTGACAATGATTATTTCTTCCTATGGTTCTCTTCTTGGAAAAGTCATTATCAAACTTCTTCACACCATTAGCTGAGCTACCATCTTCATATGAACATCCCTTCCCAACATCTTCTTCTAGACGCACTCCCACATTCACCTTGTCAGGAAAGTCATTAGGTGCATTAACCATCACCTTCTCATGAGAGAATGATTTTAGAGTTTCAGTGAAGACTTTTATCATCGCTTCCTCCCTCCTAGAAGGATTGACTTGGGCGGCAACCAGAATTTCAACCGAACCAGTTAAGCGCTCCACACTAGCTTTCAAAATAGTCATCTCTCTACGGAGTTCAGAAATATCTTGCTTGATATTCTCCATTATTCTCTTAGCGCGAGTGTTGTACTAGTGAGACCAAAGGAAAAATAAGACTCGGAAAAAGACCTTTGAAAGTGAAACAAAAAAAATGTAGAATGATGTATGATATGCAAAAGAGAGTTTTTATTTGATTTTCAAGGAACTCAAGATATTAAGTTGTAAACATCAAAGTATGAAGATAGAAGATGAACTTTAAATTGGCTCCAAACATTGATCAAGTTATCATCAAGATCAATCATCCATTTTGGTGGATTAGGGTTTTCGCCCTATCAACACCCAAGATCCATTGAGCTTGACGAAACCTGTGATGTTTACAAAAAAAGACCTCCAAATTCCTTCAAAGTCAAGTGAAAAGGGTTTTATGGATGCATGAATGCATGGCTATGCAACAACCACAAGCAAGGTCACAAATAAAGTCGAAAGGTTCAACGTCACGAGCATGGAGTCAAGGTAAGGAACACCCCCAAGGTATGTACTAACGGTTTAATCACACCTGCAAGACAAGGTTCTAAGAGTTCCCGGAGTCTACATTCCTCCTTCGGATATTACCAACGTCTTGATTACTCAATAATCAGCAATATTCTCAAGAGAAACTCATCCGAGCGTAGCATCGCGTAACAATTACTTCCGGATTACTCCGTTATAATCTCCGCGCTACACCTAAAAGGCAAAGATGGGTTAGGGTTCTACGGTTCCCAGCTTCTCTGGCTCCCAGGTCAAAAATAATAATGTCTTCCCGATTACTCAGTAAACAAATATTACGTTCAAAAGGGCCTTCCACTGAGTGGGGGATCTCATGCCTCCTTCTTCGGGATTACTCCCTCAAAGTTTACATGACTATACCGCCCGTCCTATTCCTAAGTGTAACTTAGTCCGGGTATAGGACTTGTCCTTTGTAAATATTATCAACACCCAAATAATCACAATATATACTTATAATCAAACAATTAAATAATGATAAAACAGATAAAACAAATTAGGCTTAACCCACTTAGGGATGGACCAGCAAGAGGTCAATCTTTCCCCAGCAGAGTCGCCAATTCTGTAGCGGTGAAAATCGGAGATCGAGCTATTAATTAACTCGACTCACAAAAGCAAGAGTCGCCACCGCGCTTTATTATTTCCAAGGGAAAAGGGAAAAGAGCGAAATAAAACCCTAAAATATGCAATGTAAAGTAATATTTAAAAGTAATGAAAATACAATGCATTTTTAAAAGAGATCGAGAGTTCGGGGGTTGGTTATACAATGGGAAGGTATTAGCACCCAATGCATCTGCGGTACTCCACAGGAACCTTTTGAAATATCTGTTTTTTTGGTTAAAATTGTTTGTTTGATTAAAATGGTTCGTTTGGCTAAAAATGGGTACGAACGAGATTTTGAAGATGCGACGACCTAGTGTCAAAGTTTTGGCTTAAAAGGTGTGAGTTTGAAATTTGAATCTTTTAGGAAAATTATCTTATGTTTTTAATGAATGAAGGTATTCGCACGATTGTAAAAAACGTATTTGATGACATGAAGTCAACAATTTTAAAACATTTCCCTTGGATTAGAAGCAAACAAATCAGAAAAAAAAAGATGAACATCACAATATAAGTAATCAAGAATTCGCAAGAAAATAAATTTAAACGAACTGATTAAGAAAAAGCAACGAAATATTTAATTCTAAAGGACTAAGACGATTAAAAAACAAACGAGGAGGTAACTAGTTATCTAAAGAGGATATGTAAATTACTAAGTTAATTCTAAACAAAAAGTAAGATTATGAAATTTCCGAATTACACCTAAATTGCGTTAAAGCTCTAAGATTTATTAAAATTCTAAAATTACTAAATTTAATCTAAGTTGAATTAATTCTAAAGTTACTAAACCGTGTCTAATATAAACTAAGTTGATTTCAAAGTTACTAAATTAAAATTCTTGAATTATTAAATTGAATCTAAACTAAATCAAAGTTTTAACTAAATTCCTTATGAAATTACTAATTTAATCTAAACTATATTAATAATAAAATTACTAACTTAAATCTAAACTAAACTAATTCTAAATTAAAGATTAAAATTCTAGGACTAAATTAACATTCTAAAGTTATCGAAATGTAACTAAACTAATTAAAGGTTTTAACATTACTAATTTATATCTAATTAAATTAAAACTCTAAAGTTATCAAATTAAGCCCTAAACTAATCTAAATAATTAAGATTATCTAGTTAACTAAAACATAGTTGTTTAATTAAATATATAAAATACCTAGATTGACTAAGCTAATTATTATTTAAGATAAATAAATTGAAAGAGTGTAACAAAAATTATTGGAGGGGGAATAATAAAAGCAGTTGGGCCTAAAAGGGAAAGGAAGCTAGCCCAGGTTTATAGAAAAAAGGTTTATAAAAGAACTTAAAAAAAAAAAAACAATGGGTCGGACCGGGTCAGGCTGGACCCGGATCCACCCATCTTTAACAAATGCAAAGGGGTTGGATAACCCTAAATCCCAGCATCTCTTCTTCAAATAAGCGCTAATCTGCCAAACGTAACCGTATGGATCAGTTACCTTCCTCACACGCCCCTCACCAGACGCACCTTCAATGTCCACAACCGCTCCACCTTTCACAGCCTTCGCTATCGCACCTTCAACGTCCTCCGTCTCCAAAGCAAAAGCGACACTGTTTCCACCACTCTTCACCGGTGTAGCGGAATCATCAACGGTATTAACAACAAGGAACAAAGAGCCAGCGATCTTGAGTTCAGCCGAGAGAACATGATGAATCTCCTGATCAGCCTTACGCTTAGGGTTCAGAGTGCGCGAAACCTCTCCAGCACCTAACACATTCTTGTAGAATGCAACTGCGACGTTGGCTTTTGGAGCTTCGACGAAGAGGTGAGGCTTGAGAGCAGCGAAGGAAACGGCAGGGAGAATGAAATCGTCTTCCTCCATTAACGTTTTTGGAGAAGATAAAAAAAGAGTTATAATAGGACAATAATTAGAAAAGGGATTAGGGTAAAGAAATGTTACATTTTCACATTTTTGCAAGCGAACAATTTCTCCATCCTCTCAAATTTGCAAAGCGCGGCGGCCAGGCTCCGACTCCAATCGTCCTTAGCTTTTGAAACGTTTCTCCTTTCTTCCTCGCGCCGCAGGTCTTCTGAATCTTTCATCGTACTTTGATCACTTCCTCGTTTGTCTCTCTACTCTGTTCTCTTTCATTTTTGGTATAACAACGACTCACCGATTTTGATTTCATGGTAACAGGCAAGTCTCGGTGTGCTTCTCGCGATTTCGGTTCAACATCAAGCATGTAGGTGAAGTGATTTTCTCCGGAGATTGTTCAGGTATCTTCAATGCTAACTCTCTGGATCTCCACGGGGCTCTGAGTTTGAATGATTTAGAATGAAATTCTGTTCAAAACTCTTTTTTGGCTGTAATTTATTTATGTATTTTTCTATTAGGATGAGTTGTTAACGGTGAAGGGTATTGAAACAAGGTTGAAAAATTGATGTACAGTAGAAAGGCTTTTGTGGTGATGGTTTTGTGTATGAGTTAGCTAGGGTGCGTTTAAGGTGGGTTAGCGGAATGGGTTGTGATATTACTGCATTGATGGAAGACACACACAGAAGCGGAAAATTGAAGGGATGAATGGAGTTTGGTGTTTGTGAATGTTTAAGAGGAAGGAGGCAGGGCCATAACAGCGAGATGATGGTTGGATAGAGGGTAGTGTATTGGTTTATTGTTGTTTTGTGAATGAATACATTAAAAAGGGGTTAAGGTAGTGTGGTGAAAAAAATAGAAACAGGAGGATGAGTTACTGTATATGTTTTTTGTTTTTGTGTTTTTCGTTTGACAGCAGGTGATGTTCTGAAGCTTCCCTCAACTTGGAGGAAAGTTATTAGAAATTTTTACAGGTTCTTTTACTTTGTTTTCCCGCCTTCAGAATGAATTTTTTTTGGAGGGAAAAATTGTGAGTCTTGGACAAAATATGATGTGCTGATTCTTCCTTTTTGATGCAGGATTTGCTTTTCTATTTTTGTGAAAGTTTAGACTTTTTGGACAGATTTTTGGCAAGTTGTGGTGCAGGCAGTAGCAGGTTTTTGGCAAGTTTTGGGCAGCAGTGCAGTAGCAGGTTTTTGGCAAGTTGTGGACTGATATGCAGAGTTTAAATGTGGAATTTGAAGATTAGAAAGAAAAAAAACCTTAAGGATTTCCATGTATTTTCGTGACTGTTTTGTAACATGGTGACGAGCCATGGTATCTTGATGAAACTTGTATGCTAAGATGACATTCATTCTTGACTTTTGAACTTGAATGAGTTTGTAATGATTCTTGCTGAACATGATATGTCCATAAAAACTCTTGAATAAATGTCGACTTGCGAGGTGCATTTTGAAATTATGAATCTTGAATTAATACAGAGCATCACTTTTGAAGAGAACCTTGAAAGAATCTTGCACAATTTGAATTTGAATATGATTAAATGAGACTTGAATTGAAATTGAACTTTGAATAAAGTCTGGACTTGAAATAATTATTGAATAACATTTTAGTCAAATAAGACTTGAATGTCTTTCATAACCTCTAGAATTTAAAATTGAATGAACTTGGATTCCTTGAATGGTTTTTTTTTACCTTGAAATGCATTCCAAATAAAACACCTAAACCTTTTATCATGAACCGAATCTCGATGAACAAACAAAGAACTTGATCCAAATCCAATTTTAATTCACTAATTACTAATGCTCTAATACAAACAACTTGTATTATAGCAATATATAATCAATGAATCCTCAAACTCAGCATCTTGCCTTTACCCTTAACTTAGTGGAGAACAATCTCAACACAAAATCGATTCTAAGTCTAAAATGTTCAAACGAATTTCATGGCCTTCTAAACGCATTTGGATGTCGATCCTTGAAGCAATCTTGTAGACGACATCATTTGTGATATGTTGCAAAAAGAACCATCCCAAAATGATGAAAATCGAAATAGTTACGATCCTTGAAAGTCGAGTAATTGTTACTTGATATTAGGCCAAAGTCATCAAAGTGACCTCTAAAGTATCCGAACTTTTGATGATCCTCCGCACCTAATCAGACCTTGACGGGTAAAGAGGGGTTAGAGATGGCGTCAAAGAAAATTGTACGCAAAAGTAACCATTCAAAAATGTTGAATAAATGATAAGTTACGATCGTTGAACTTGGATGTGTAAGTATTGACTTTTGGTCAAAGTGCTTTGAATTGACTTGCAAACTTGATCTTTCTTTGCATTCCAAAGCATCTTGATGCACATGTGAACCAGTGATGATGAAATCTTGTCTGTGCTCTGAGAGAGTTGTAGAGAAGCTCGAGACCACTTGTCGAACAAGGCGTGGAAATAAACGCACGATTCTCCTGATGAATCAGTCTTCACGAACCAACGATTAACTGTACTTCTGGCTTGAGAGATTCTGAACCCTAATTGAGGCGTGACGCCTGATGCTCTTGATTCAGATCTGTTTCCTGCAAATGAAAACAAAGGAACGAGAAATACACATGCTGGAGTAGAAGTTAATGATACATAGGCTGAGAATGTTTAAAATACTTGACAAATTCTGCATAGCCAATGCTCGAAGGTGAGAGGTTAAAACCGACTATAATTAGTGACCTTGACTTATCTTAAAAAATGCAAAAATAAAAATGGGATCTTAGGTCAAAAATTGGGGTACAACACCTGGCACTTCGCCTGGTGGGGACTTGACCTCCTCATACTATTCATGGTAAGTACCAACCCAAACAAATACCTAATAGTAGTTGTCGACTAATTCACCAAGTGGATAGAGGCGGCGACACTGGCCAAAATCACTGCCCAAAACATCCTCGCTCGGTTCGGTATTCCTCAAGCCATTGTCACCGACAATGGAACCCAATTCACGGACCAAAACTTCCAAGAATTTATGGCCAACTTGGGCACTACACAATACTTTGCCTCTGTCGAACACCCTCAGACAAACAGGAAAGCCGAGTCCGCGAACAGAGTAATTCTGAGATATCCCGAGTGAAGGTTGGACGAAAGTAAAAAGAGATGGGTCGAGGAGATACACAACATGCTCTTGGGCTATCGAATAACAAGTCACTCGTCCATCGGGGAGACTCCCTTTCGATTGACCTACGGGACAGAGGTTGTCATCCCCGTCGATATTGAAGAACCCTCCAGGAAAACCGAGGCTCCCCTGGACGAGGAGATGAACGTCATCACCCTACGAGAGGAACTAGTCCTGGTCAAAGAAATCTGAACAATCGACAGCCTGACGAGAGGCCTCTCTCAAATAGAAAATATCCATGCGATATGACACCAAAGTCATACAGAGAGAGTACAAAGTCGGAAGCCTTGTCCTAAAAATAAATCGCAAAGAGTCTCGTGAAGGAAAGCTCGCCGCAAACTTGGTAGGCCCTTACCGCGTTCATGCAAAAACGGGGAACGAGGCCTACTACCTGGAAAACCTACATGGGGAACAACTTGCTCGACCTTGGAACACTGAAAACCTAAGGAAGTATTACAGTTTAAACACTAAGCAGTCGGCGAGTTTGACGACTATACGAACTCATCCAAACCCGACCACACGTGTGTGCCTAGGTACAAGCATGGCACTCAAATTGTTTGAAGGGGCAAGGCTCATTCTTTTGACGAGTAGATCCTTATCCCGACATGGATAAATCGACTGAGCTCCATCGTTATCGTACCATGCTAGCAAAATGCCCAAATAACGATAGGAAGTTCACGCTGCCGAGCTCGGGTCCTTGAAATGAGACCTGAGTTTCGGCCCATGCCCGGTATTCACCCTGGTCGTTTGTCCGGTCTCCCCACCCCGGAAAACTCACTAACTTACAAGCAAAACCCCGCAAAAACTTTTAACCAATAAAAAATGTCTCAAGCAGACGAGCATACAATAAAAATGCAAACACTTCAAAAAGAAAATGCAACACAATCATGCACGAATTAAAGCAAACTACCACCACTGCCAGAAAATTAATATACAACCATTAAGGCTACAATTGTGCAAATTTTACTAAAAGGGAGCCCAAGGCCCCCGTCCAACAAAGTAATTATGTGGCCACAAGGACCACAACTGTTCGGAACTTACATCAAAATGGGCTAACGCCTGTAAAATAGAATTACATCAAAACGGAGCACAGACCGAAACAAGATATAAAGAAGAAACAATCAATATCAGGCTGGGGATCCTCCTCGATGACGAGATCCTGACGAGACGACTCTTTGACGGGTGCACCCCTAACATCTTAGAGATATTCAGGGACCACAACCTTTATGTCAACCACATAGTAATGGAGTCCCATCCTGGTCTTATTAAGCTTTACCTCAGGATTCAAGACCCTAAGCCACTTCATTGTGTTGTCAAAACTCCCCTTGAAAGCGGCCAGGGAATCATCAACCGCTAGTTGAAGGAGAGCAACCAGTTCTGAAAGGGTATTCAAGCTTTGAGCTTCTTTCACCTCATCTTTTGCAGGAGCAACTTTAGCCCTCATGGACGCTGCATGTTCATCAGATGCCTTCTTCTTGAGCAACATTGTCTAATAATCCTTGGTCAATTTCTCTAGGCTCTCCTCGACCAACTTTCTAGCAACCCCATCATTAGCGTACTTCCTCTTAATCTCGGCCAGATTAGCTCACAATTTTCTCATCTCAACTTCTTGAGAGGAGCCATCCTCGGTGTACGCAATGGCCATCTCCAAGACTCTCATAATGACCCTAGTATCCTGAGCTAATGCGGTCCGCTTGGCCAGACGATCCAACCCCTCAAGCAAAAGGAACTCACCTCGAAGGAGATACAAGGAAGAACCCTCGACGAAGGACCTATCATGCCAGCAGGGAGGCAATTCGTATTTCCCCTTCTCTTTTCCCCCAGTCAGATTAATAGTGCCCTTATTGTGTTGCCTTTTGAGCC